AAAGTTTTTATTTCAATATTCATCTAACTGAACAGCTTGATAGCCGAAAATTTTTTAAAAAGGCAAAATGCCGTCTGTTCAAAATCTCCCAAAATGTGCCTCATATAAGCGCTTTTTCTTTTTTCAATTGGATATGAATCGTAATCCGAAGATGTGGATAACGATCGCCCGAAACGCATATAAGCCGACTTCCGCTTGTCCATTGCATGCTCTAAAATTGACTTTTTCTCTGTATCACTGTGATAAATGGAATAAATAACAATGCACTTCAGTTGGCAGGCGTCGTTTGGACTCTTTATGGTAAGCTGTTGTAAGTTTGCATTAGACGCATGAGATGAAACTTTTAGGATTGGTTTTACTCATCACTCTGACGTTTTAAAATATTTCGAATTTAGCAGTTATTGAATTAAATTCAAACGTTCACTTTCACAGCTCGTCCGTCTCTGAAACTATAAAATTAGTTCTAAAGTTGAAACAGGGTCACACTGTAAAATAAAATAAATTTGAGCTGAATTTTAGTTATTCCGTCCTTTACCGTCAAATACTGGCCAAATATTTCGATTTTCTACACCACTCCCTCCTGAACTTAGAATTCGCTTAAATTAAGACAGTGGTCATGGACTAATAGATATAGTAAGCCTTGAAGATTGATTTTTAAATATTTAAGTTGCTTTTCATATTGGATAAACTTGGAAAATTTGTGGCTTTATCGGCTCTAAAGTTTTAAGATTGGCTTATATTTTGGATCTAAGTTTATCGCACGAGGGGAGGCATGATCTGATTCCGAGTTTTGGCCTATTTTGTGCGAAATTTTAGTTTCGAAATATTTGTTATTTTGGAAGCCTGATACACACATACACACATACAGACGTCTTTGATCACGAGAGGTGGCCCTGGCAGCCTTAACCGTCCGGTTTTGTAATATACAGCTTGCCCACTTGTTCTTTTGTTGTGGTTGCATCCTACAGTAAAAATTTTGCAAAAACACGGATTGTACAGACTTGTCAGATAAACACAGCCGCTTTGAAAATTCGAAACTGTGTGAATTTTTCATTCAGCAAGTTGGACAGGACGAGCACTTTAATTTTGTACAGATGCACGCTAAGCACAGATCTAATCTTTAAAACTGCTGCATGGGCCCAGCCGTTCACTTTTGAAGCCTATTTCAGCTAATATTGTCACAAGACTTATGACATGCTGTGGCACTTAGCTCAAACCTAGTAAAGAATGGCTAGTGATTTTCACTATCAACGCTAATACCGTAGCAAATGTTAAGGAATGGATTAAGGCTGCAGAGTGAATAAATTTCTTGATCGGCCATTATCCCATCGTCCAGCGAGCCGCTGCCGATTTCGGAAGACTCCACCACCTCCATGCTACACAATATCACCAGCAGTGTCAGCAAGAAGGCATGCGGCATCGTTAAAGCTGACCTTATCCCTGCAAAATGTAATTTTATTACCAGCATAACGTAACGAACAGGAAAGGAGGCATAATTCGCTTGATTCCCATAATAATCGATCGAGATCGTGCATCATCAAGTATCGCATTTGTCAGAAGAAAGCGACGTTTTGACAGTTTAAAAAGGCTGTGTGTTTACATGTGGGAGCTTATTGAATGAAATCAGTAAATGTGCAGTCCGAAGCAAAAAGACTAAAAAACTGCGTTTAGCGCGCACGCCCCATAGTAATACTTTATTTACAACCCACACTGAAATTCCAAATGATGAGAATTGGGACATTTTAAGTATGTTCGACACGCTCCTGGAGCAAGTAGCCACTTTATACAAATAGCTGCTTAAAATAGGGTTTTTGCACAGTTTTGCGCAGCAATGAGATTGTCCGCAAACCTGATTTCATAAAGTTTTACAGAAAATGCCTTTCGCAGCCTACGATAAATAAAAGCCGTTTTAATACAGATTCATCATGATTCATTCTTAGTGTTTGCCTATACTTTCTCTAGCCCTCTCTACGTTGTAAAAGAACGTTTTGAATCTCATTCAGCTGTAGTAATTTGAAATCATTGGCGACTCGTATCGAAGAGGCCCGTGCGATCATGTCTTTTTGCAATATTTCGTGCTGTAGTGAGATCGCTCGGAAACCCAGTAGCTAGAAATGTGTGATAT